CGATCTTTGTGTCAGTTAAACAGCGCCATTACCTTGATATTGGATGAAAAGGAGAAAGCCGAGCCAGCCAGGAGTCGAACCTAGAATCTTCTGATCCGTAGTCAGACGCGTTATCCATTGCGCCACTGGCCCACGGTTACCTTGCGCACAATACAAGCATGGCTCCACATGACTCTGTGGTTAGGAGAGTTCTCATTATGCCCGAAAAAGAACCTGGATGAAGCTGAGTCTTCTGTCCCAACGTTACTCTACAGGTTGAGTCAGGGAGATCTTACCACATCAGAATGTTTTACACTGGAGAATGGCTGCTAGGTACAAACTAGGACCATATTCAGAGTAAAAGAGCAACACGGAAAGGTCCATGCCGTGACCCGGATTCGAACCGGGGTTGATGCGGCCACAACGCAGAGTACTAACCACTATACGATCACGGCTTCTCAAGTCAGTGGGTTTGGTAAAGGTGTTATAAAACAATCTCTGTGCTGAAGCTTGGGGCAAAGTAGGTACAAACTACAAACTAGGACCATATTCAGAGTAAAAGAGCATACTGGGATAGAGAGATACCGTCCCTTTTTCGCTAGATACAGACTATGAGCAGATTCAGATTAAAAGAGCAATGTGGAAAATCTATGCCGTGACCCGGAGATGAAAGGCGGTTGCTGCAGACACAAAGCGGAATGACGACCATCATAAGATGCACCCTTCAATCTGACTGATATCTGGCAGAAAAGCAGTTGCTGGTTGGAAAACAGGACTTAGAACTCTGTCCCTTGCCCATCATGAGGATAGGCAAAGCAAAGCAGAAATTTTAGGGTTAAGCACTATTTCCCATACGGGAGTTGAACCCGGCCACCTGGGTGAAAACCAGGAATCCTAACCGCTAGACCATATGGGACCCCTGATTTGTTACTTGTTTATAAAGGAAGGAACCAGTATGGTCAGCCTCGAGTGCATATGAATTGCAACACTGTAACTCGATCTTTGTGTCAGTTAAACAGCGCCACTATCCATGATATTGGATGAAAAGGAGAAAGCCGAGCCAAGAGTCGAACCTAGATTTCTGTCGTAGTCAGCGTTATCTGCCACTGGCCCATAGTTACCTGCGCAATACAAGCATGGCTCCACATGACTCTGTGGTTGGAGAGTTTATTATGCCGAAAAGAATGGATGAGCTGAGTTTCTGTCAAGCTTACTCTACAGGTTAGTAGGAATTTACCACATCAGAATGTTTTACACTGGAGAAGGCGTGGTACAAACTAGGACCATATTCAGAGTAAAAGAGCAACACGGAAAGGTCCATGCGTGACCAGATTCAACCTGTGTTCTGCCACACATACTACCACTATAATAGCTTCTCAACAGTGGTTTGTAAAGTTGTTATAAACAATTATTAAGATGGGCAAAGGGTCATTTGACTGGGATAGAGAGATACCATCCCTTTTTCGCTTTCCCAGTGGCGCGACGTTCCACAACCATACAGAGCTTTGAATTCGTGGATGTCAATAAACAGCTTTCTCCAGAACTTTAGGTGGTGTAAGAGAGAGCCTGGTCAGCCCGGGATGAAAGCAAAGCAGAGTTTTATTATAAACTGACCCGTGATTCCTCTGCGGTTTTTGTCAGGGAGATCCTACCACATCAGGCTTTCCCACTGGAGAAGGGCTGCTAGATACAGACTATGAGCAGATTCAGATTAAAAGAGCAATGTGGAAAATCTGTCCGTGACCCGGAGATGAAAGGCGGTTGCTGCAGACACAAAGCGAAGTAACGACCATCATAAGATGCACCCTGCAATCTGACTGATATCTGGCAGAAAAGCAGTTGCTGGTTGGAAAACAGGACTTAGAACTCTGTCCCTTGCCCATCATGAGGATAGGCAAAGCAAAGCAGAAATTTTAGGTTAAACACTATTTCCCATACCGGAGTTGAACCGGGCCACCTGGGTGAAAACCAGGAATCCTAACCGCTAGACCATATGGGACACCAGATTTGTTACTTGTTTATAAAGGAAGGAACCAGTATGGTCAGCCTCAGTGCAACTGAACTGCAACACTGTAACTCGATCTTTGTGTCAGTTAAACAGCGCCATTATCCATGATATTGGATGAAAAGGAGAAAGCCGAAGCCAGCCAGGAGTCGAACCTAGAATCTTCTGATCCGTAGTCAGGCGCGTTATCCATTGCGCCACTGGCCCCACGGTTACCTTGTGCACAATACAAGCATGGCTCCACATGACTCTGTGGTTAGGAGAGTTCTCATTATGCCCGAAAAAGAACCTGGATGAAGCTGAGTCTTCTGTCCCAACGTTACTCTACAGGTTGAGTCGGGAGATCTTACCACATCAGAATGTTTTACACTGGAGAATGGCTGCTAGGTACAAACTAGGACCATATTCAGAGTAAAAAGAGCAACACGGAAAGGTCCATGCCGTGACCCGGATTCGAACCGGAGTTGCTGGGGCCCAACGCACGAGTACTAACCACTATACGATCACGGCTTCTCAAGTCAGTGGGTTTGGTAAAAGTTGTTATAAAACAATCTCTGTGCTGAAGCTTGGGGCAAAGTAGGTACAAACTACAAACTAGGACCATATTCAGAGTAAAAGAGCATACTGGGATAGAGAGATACCGTCCCTTTTCTGCTAAAAAAAATAGATACAGACTATGAGCAGATTCAGATTAAAAGAGCAATGTGGAAAATCTATGCCGTGACCCGGAGATGAAAGGCGGTTGCTGCAGACACAAAGCGAAGTAACGACCATCATCGACAAATGCACCCTTTAATCTGACTGATATCTGGCAGAAAAGCAGTTGCTGGTTGGAAAACAGGACTTAGAACTCTGTCCCTTGCCCATCATGAGGATAGGCAAAGCAAAGCAGAAATTTTAGGTTAAAACACTACTTCTTCCATACCGGAGTTGAACCCGGGCCACCTGGGTGAAAACCAGGAATCCTAACCGCTAGACCATATGGGACCCCAGATTTGTTACTTGTTTATAAAGGAAGGAACCAGTATGGTCAGCCTCAGTGCAACTGAACTGCAACACTGTAACTCGATCTTTGTGTCAGTTAAACAGCGCCATTATCCATGATATTGGATGAAAAGGAGAAAGCCGAGCCAGCCGGAATTCGAACCTAGAATCTTCTGATCCGTAGTCAGGCGCCTTATCCATTGCGCCACTGGCCCACGGTTACCTTGCGCACAATACAAGCATGGCTCCACATGACTCTGTGGTTAAGAGAGTTCTCATTATGCCCGAAAAGGAACCTGGATGAAGCTGAGTCTTCTGTCCGCCCAATTACTCTACAGGTTGAGTCAGGGAGATCTTACCACATCAGAATGTTTTACACTGGAGAATGGCTGCTAGGTACAAACTAGGACCATATTCAGAGTAAAAGAGCAACACGGAAAGGTCCATGCCGTGACCCGGATTCGAACCGGGGTTGCTGCGGCCACAACGCAGAGTACTAACCACTATACGATCACGGCTTCTCAAGTCAGTGGGTTTGGTAAAGTTGTTATAAAACAATCTCTGTGCTGAAGCTTGGGGCAAAGTAGGTACAAACTACAAACTAGGACCATATTCAGAGTAAAAGAGCATACTGGGATAGAGAGATACCGTCCCTTTTCGCTTTCCCAGTGGCAACGTTCACAACCATACAGAGCTTTGAATTCGTGGATGTCAATAAACAGCTTTCTCCAGAACTTTAGGTGGTGTAAGAGAGAGCCTGGTCAGCCCGGGATGGAAAGCTGAGTCTTCTGACCCGTGATTCCTCTGCGGTTTGTGTCAGGGAGATCCTACCACATCAGGCTTTCCCACTGGAGAAGGGCTGCTAGATACAGACTATGAGCAGATTCAGATTAAAAGAGCAATGTGGAAAATCTATGCCGTGACCCGGAGATGAAAGGCGGTTGCTGCAGACACAAAGCGAAGTAACGACCATCATAAGATGCACCCTGCAATCTGACTGATATCTGGCAGAAAAGCAGTTGCTGGTTGGAAAACAGGACTTAGAACTCTGTCCCAACTCCCATACCGGGAGTTGAACCCGGCCACCTGGGTGAAAACCAGGAATCCTAACCGCTAGACCATATGGGACCCCTGATTTGTTACTTGTTTATAAAGGAAGGAACCAGTATGGTCAGCCTCAGTGCAAATGAACTGCAACACTGTAACTCGATCTTTGTGTCAGTTAAACAGCGCCATTATCCATGATATTGGATGAAAAGGAGAAAGCCGAGCCAGCCAGGAGTCGAACCTAGAATCTTCTGATCCGTAGTCAGGCGCGTTATCCATTGCGCCACTGGCCCACGGTTACCTTGCGCACAATACAAGCATGGCTCCACATGACTCTGTGGTTAGGAGAGTTCTCATTATGCCCGAAAAAGAACCTGGATGAAGCTGAGTCTTCTGTCCCAACGTTACTCTACAGGTTGAGTCAGGGAGATCTTACCACATCAGAATGTTTTACACTGGAGAATGGCTGCTAGGTACAAACTAGGACCATATTCAGAGTAAAAGAGCAACACGGAAAGGTCCATGCCGTGACCCGGATTCGAACCGGGGTTGCTGCGGCCACAACGCAGAGTACTAACCACTATACGATCACGGCTTCTCAAGTCAGTGGGTTTGGTAAAGTTGTTATAAAACAATCTCTGTGCTGAAGCTTGGGGCAAAGTAGGTACAAACTACAAACTAGGACCATATTCAGAGTAAAAGAGCATACTGGGATAGAGAGATACCGTCCCTTTTTTGCTAGATACAGACTATGAGCAGATTCAGATTAAAAGAGCAATGTGGAAAATCTATGCCGTGACCCGGAGATGAAAGGCGGTTGCTGCAGACACAAAGCGAAGTAACGACCATCATAAGATGCACCCTGCAATCTGACTGATATCTGGCAGAAAAGCAGTTGCTGGTTGGAAAACAGGACTTAGAACTCTGTCCCTTGCCCATCATGAGGATAGGCAAAGCAAAGCAGAAATTTTAGGTTAAGCACTATTTCCCATACCGGAGTTGAACCCGGCACCTGGGAGAAAACCAGGAACCCTAACCGCTAGACCATATGGACCCCCAGATTTGTTACTTGTTTATAAAGGAAGGAACCAGTATGGTCAGCCTCAGTGCAATATTTGAGTTGCAACACTGTTATCGATCTTTGTGTCAGTTAAACAGCGCCATTATCCATGATATTGGATGAAAATGAGAAAGCCTAGTCAGCCAGGGGTCGAAACTAGAATCTTCTGATCCGTATTCAGTAGCGTTTTCCATTGCCACTGACCCACCGGTTACTTACTGTCGTTAGGCAATAAAGCTGATGTAGATACCATGATTAGATTCAATGATTCTGATTAATATGAGAGCAATGTGGAAAATCTATGCCGTGACCCGGAGATGAAAGGCGGTTGCTGCAGACACAAAGCGAAGTAACGACCATCATAAGATGCACCCTGCAATCTGACTGATATCTGGCAGAAAAGCAGTTGCTGGTTGGAAAACAGGACTTAGAACTCTGTCCCTTGCCCATCATGAGGATAGGCAAAGCAAAGCGAGAATTTTGGTTAAGCACTATTTCCCCAACCGGGAGTTGAACCCGGCCACCTGGGTGAAAACCAGGAATCCTAACCGCTAGACCATATGGGACCACAGACTTGTTACTTGTTTATAAAGGAAGGAACCAGTATGGTCAGCCTCAGTGCAACTGAACTGCAACACTGTAACTCGATCTTTGTGTCAGTTAAACAGCGCCATTATCCATGATATTGGATGAAAAGGAGAAAGCCGAGCCAGCCAGGAGTCGAACCTAGAATCTTCTGATCCGTAGTCAGGCGCGTTATCCATTGCGCCACTGGCCCCCGCGTAACTCGTGGCGCACAATACAAGCATGGCTCCACATGACTCTGTGGTTAGGAGAGTTGTCATTATGCCCGAAAAGAACCTGGATGAAGCTGAGTCTTCTGTCCCAACGTTACTCTACAGGTTGAGTCAGGGAGATCTTACCACATCAGAATGTTTTACACTGGAGAATGGCTGCTAGGTACAAACTAGGACCATATTCAGAGTAAAAGAGCAACACGGAAAGGTCCCTGCCGTGACCCGGATTCGAACCGGGGTTGCTGCGGCCACAACGCAGAGTACTAACCACTATACGATCACGGCTTCTCAAGTCAGTGGGTTTGGTAAAGTTGTTATAAAACAATCTCTGTGCTGAAGCTTGGGGCAAAGTAGGTACAAACTACAAACTAGGACCATATTCAGAGTAAAAGAGCATACTGGGATAGAGAGATACCGTCCTTTTCATTTTATGAAAAGGGCTAATAGATACAGACTATGAGCAGATTCAGATTAAAAGAGCAATGTGGAAAATCTATGCCGTGACCCGGAGATGAAAGGCGGTTGCTGCAGACACAAAGCGAAGTAACGACCATCATGAGATGCACCCTTTAATCTGACTGATATCTGGCAGAAAAGCAGTTGCTGGTTGGAAAACAGGACTTAGAACTCTGTCCCTTGCCCATCATGAGGATAGGCAAAGCAAAGCAGAAATTTTAGGTTAAGCACTATTTCCCATACCGGGAGTTGAACCCGGGCCACCTGGGTGAAAACCAGGAATCCTAACCGCTAGACCATATGGGACCCCAGATTTGTTACTTGTTTATAAAGGAAGGAACCAGTATGGTCAGCCTCAGTGCAACTGAACTGCAACACTGTAACTCGATCTTTGTGTCAGTTAAACAGCGCCATTATCCATGATATTGGATGAAAAGGAGAAAGCCGAGCCAGCCAGGAGTCGAACCTAGAATCTTCTGATCCGTAGTCAGGCGCGTTATCCATTGCGCCACTGGCCCACGGTTACCTTGCGCACAATACAAGCATGGCTCCACATGACTCTGTGGTTAGGAGAGTTCTCATTATGCCCGAAAAAGAACCTGGATGAAGCTGAGTCTTCTGTCCCAACGTTACTCTACAGGTTGAGTCAGGGAGATCTTACCACATCAGAATGTTTTACACTGGAGAATGGCTGCTAGGTACAAACTAGGACCATATTCAGAGTAAAAGAGCAACACGGAAAGGTCCATGCCGTGACCCGGATTCGAACCGGGGTTGCTGCGGCCACAACGCAGAGTACTAACCACTATACGATCACGGCTTCTCAAGTCAGTGGGTTTGGTAAAGTTGTTATAAAACAATCTCTGTGCTGAAGCTTGGGGCAAAGTAGGTACAAACTACAAACTAGGACCATATTCAGAGTAAAAGAGCATACTGGGATAGAGAGATACCGTCCCTTTTCTGCTTTTTTTTTTAAAATTAGATACAGACTATGAGCAGATTCAGATTAAAAGAGCAATGTGGAAAATCTATGCCGTGACCCGAGAGATGAAAGGCGGTTGCTGCAGACACAAAGCGAAGTAACGACCATCATAAGATGCACCCTGCAATCTGACTGATATCTGGCAGAAAAGCAGTTGCTGGTTGGAAAACAGGACTTAGAACTCTGTCCCTTGCCCATCATGAGGATAGGCAAAGCAAAGCAGAAATTTTGTAAATTTCCCATACCGAGGTTGAACCCGGCCACCTGGGTGAAAACCAGGAATCCTAACCGCTAGACCAAATGGGACCCCTGATTTGTTACTTGTTTATAAAGGAAGGAACCAGTATGGTCAGCCTCAGTGCAAATGAACTGCAACACTGTAACTCGATCTTTGTGTCAGTTAAACAGCGCCATTATCCATGATATTGGATGAAAAGGAGAAAGCCGAGCCAGCCAGGAGTCGAACCTAGAATCTTCTGATCCGTAGTCAGGCGCGTTATCCATTGCGCCACTGGCCCACGGTTACCTTGCGCACAATACAAGCATGGCTCCACATGACTCTGTGGTTAGGAGAGTTCTCATTATGCCCGAAAAAGAACCTGGATGAAGCTGAGTCTTCTGTCCCAACGTTACTCTACAGGTTGAGTCAGGGAGATCTTACCACATCAGAATGTTTTACACTGGAGAATGGCTGCTAGGTACAAACTAGGACCATATTCAGAGTAAAAGAGCAACACGGAAAGGTCCATGCCGTGACCCGGATTCGAACCGGGGTTGCTGCGGCCACAACGCAGAGTACTAACCACTATACGATCACGGCTTCTCAAGTCAGTGGGTTTGGTAAAGTTGTTATAAAACAATCTCTGTGCTGAAGCTTGGGGCAAAGTAGGTACAAACTACAAACTAGGACCATATTCAGAGTAAAAGAGCATACTGGGATAGAGAGATACCGTCCCTTTTTCGCTAGATACAGACTATGAGCAGATTCAGATTAAAAGAGCAATGTGGAAAATCTATGCCGTGACCCGGAGATGAAAGGCGGTTGCTGCAGACACAAAGCGAAGTAACGACCATCATAAGATGCACCCTGCAATCTGACTGATATCTGGCAGAAAAGCAGTTGCTGGTTGGAAAACAGGACTTAGAACTCTGTCCCTTGCCCATCATGAGGATAGGCAAAGCAAAGCAGAAATTTTAGGTTAAGCACTATTTCCCATACCGGGAGTTGAACCCGGCCACCTGGGAGAAAACCAGGAATCCTAACCGCTAGACCATATGGGACCCCAGATTTGTTACTTGTTTATAAAGGAAGGAACCAGTATGGTCAGCCTCAGTGCAATATTTGAGTTGGGCACACTGTAACTCGATCTTTGTGTCAGTCAAACAGCACCACTATCCATGATATTGGATGAAAATGAGCTGTTCTGTGCTGAAGCTTGGGGCAAAGTAGGTACAAACTACAAACTAGGACCATATTCAGAGTAAAAGAGCATACTGGGATAGAGAGATACCGTCCCTTTTCGCTTTCCCAGTGGCAACGTTCACAACCATACAGAGCTTTGAATTCGTGGATGTCAATAAACAGCTTTCTCCAGAACTTTAGGTGGGGTAAGAGAGAGCCTGGTCAGCCCGGGATGGAAAGCTGAGTCTTCTGACCCGTGATTCCTCTGCGGTTTGTGTCAGGGAGATCCTACCACATCAGGCTTTCCCACTGGAGAAGGGCTGCTAGATACAGACTATGAGCAGATTCAGATTAAAAGGGAATGTGGAATGTGGAAAATCTATGCCGTGACCCAGAGATGAAAGGCGGTTGCTGCAGACACAAAGCGAAGTAACGACCATCATAAGATGCACCCTGCAATCTGACTGATATCTGGCAGAAAAGCAGTTGCTGGTGGGAAAACAGGACTTAGAACTCTGTCCCTTGCCCATCATGAGGATAGGCAAAGCAAAGCAGAAATTTTAGGTTAAACACTATTTCCCATACCGGGAGTTGAACCCGGGCCACCTGGGTGAAAACCAGGAATCCTAACCGCTAGACCATATGGGACCACAGACTTGTTACTTGTTTATAAAGGAAGGAACCAGTATGGTCAGCCTCAGTGCAACTGAACTGCAACACTGTAACTCGATCTTTGTCTCAGTTAAACAGCGCCATTATCCATGATATTGGATGAAAAGGAGAAAGCCGAGCCAGCCAGGAGTCGAACCTAGAATCTTCTGATCCGTAGTCAGGCGCGTTATCCATTGCGCCACTGGCCCACGGTTACCTTGCGCACAATACAAGCATGGCTCCACATGACTCTGTGGTTAGGAGAGTTGTCATTATGCCCGAAAAAGAACCTGGATGAAGCTGAGTCTTCTGTCCCAACGTTACTCTACAGGTTGAGTCAGGGAGATCTTACCACATCAGAATGTTTTACACTGGAGAATGGCTGCTAGGTACAAACTAGGACCATATTCAGAGTAAAAGAGCAACACGGAAAGGTCCCTGCCGTGACCCGGATTCGAACCGGGGGTTGCGCGACAAACACGGCAGAGTACTAACCACTATACGATCACGGCTTCTCAAGTCAGTGGGTTTGGTAAAGTTGTTATAAAACAATCTCTGTGCTGAAGCTTGGGGCAAAGTAGGTACAAACTACAAACTAGGACCATATTCAGAGTAAAAGAGCATACTGGGATAGAGAGATACCGTCCCTTTTCGCTTTCCCAGTGGCAACGTTCACAACCATACAGAGCTTTGAATTCGTGGATGTCAATAAACAGCTTTCTCCAGAACTTAGGTGGGGTAAGAGAGAGCCTGGTCAGCCCGGGATGGAAAGCTGAGTCTTCTGACCCGTGATTCCTCTGCGGTTTGTGTCAGGGAGATCCTACCACATCAGGCTTTCCCACTGGAGAAGGGCTGCTAGATACAGACTATGAGCAGATTCAGATTAAAAGAGCAATGTGGAAAATCTATGCCGTGACACGGGGATGAAAGGCGGTTGCTGCAGACACAAAGCGAAGTAACGACCATCATGAGATGCACCCTGCAATCTGACTGATATCTGGCAGAAAAGCAGTTGCTGGTGGGAAAACAGGACTTAGAACTCTGTCCCTTGCCCATCATGAGGATAGGCAAAGCAAAGCAGAAATTTTAGGTTAAACACTATTTCCCATACCGGGAGTTGAACCCGGGCCACCTGGGTGAAAACCAGGAATCCTAACCGCTAGACCATATGGGACCCCAGACTTGTTACTTGTTTATAAAGGAAGGAACCAGTATGGTCAGCCTCAGTGCAACTGAACTGCAACACTGTAACTCGATCTTTGTGTCAGTTAAACAGCGCCATTATCCATGATATTGGATGAAAAGGAGAAAGCCGAGCCAGCCAGGAGTCGAACCTAGAATCTTCTGATCCGTAGTCAGGCGCGTTATCCATTGCGCCACTGGCCCACGGTTACCTTGCGCACAATACAAGCATGGCTCCACATGACTCTGTGGTTAGGAGCGTTCTGATTTTGACCCGAAAAAGAACCTGGATGAAGCTGAGTCTTCTGTCCCAACATTACTCTACAGGTTGAGTCAGGGAGATCTTACCACATCAGAATGTTTTACACTGGAGAATGGCTGCTAGGTACAAACTAGGACCATATTCAGAGTAAAAGAGCAACACGGAAAGGTCCATGCTGTGACCCGACGATCACACGGGCTTTCTGGCGCCCCAACCCAGAGTACTAACCACTATACGATCACGGCTTCTCAAGTCAGTGGGTTTGGTAAAGTTGTTATAAAACAATCTCTGTGCTGAAGCTTGGGGCAAAGTAGGTACAAACTACAAACTAGGACCATATTCAGAGTAAAAGAGCATACTGGGATAGAGAGATACCGTCCCTTTTCGCTTTCCCAGTGGCAACGTTCACAACCATACAGAGCTTTGAATTCGTGGATGTCAATAAACAGCTTTCTCCAGAACTTTAGGTGGTGTAAGAGAGAGCCTGGTCAGCCCGGGATGGAAAGCTGAGTCTTCTGACCCGTGATTCCTCTCGCGTTTGTGTCAGGGGAGATCCTACCACATCAGGCTTTCCCACTGGAGAAGGGCTGCTAGATACAGACTATGAGCAGATTCAGATTAAAAGAGCAATGTGGAAAATCTATGCCGTGACCCGGAGATGAAAGGCGGTTGCTGCAGACACAAAGCGAAGCAACGCACCATCATAAGATGCACCCTGCAATCTGACTGATATCTGGCAGAAAAGCAGTTGCTGGTTGGAAAACAGGACTTAGAACTCTGTCCCTTGCCCATCATGAGGAAGGAAAGGCAAAGAAAAGCAGAAATTTTAGGTTAAACACTATTTCCCATACCGGGAGTTGAACCCGGCCACCTGGGTGAAAACCAGGAATCCTAACCGCTAGACCATATGGGACCCCAGATTTGTTACTTGTTTATAAAGGAAGGAACCAGTATGGTCAGCCTTCGTGCAAATGAACTGCAACACTGTAACTCGATCTTTGTGTCAGTTAAACAGCGCCATTATCCATGATATTGGATGAAAAGGAGAAAGCCGAGCCAGCCAGGAGTCGAACCTAGAATCTTCTGATCCGTAGTCAGACGCGTTATCCATTGCGCCACTGGCCCACGGTTACCTTGCCACACAATACAAGCATGGCTCCACATGACTCTGTGGTTAGGAGAGTTCTCATTATGCCCGAAAAAGAACCTGGATGAAGCTGAGTCTTCTGTCCCAACGTTACTCTACAGGTTGAGTCAGGGAGATCTTACCACATCAGAATGTTTTACACTGGAGAATGGCTGCTAGGTACAAACTAGGACCATATTCAGAGTAAAAGAGCAACACGGAAAGGTCCATGCCGTGACCCGGATTCGAACCGGGGTTGCTGCGGCCACAACGCAGAGTACTAACCACTATACGATCACGGCTTTCCAGTCAGTAGTGGGTTTGGTAAAGTTGTTATAAAACAATCTCTGTGCGGAAGCTTGGGGCAAAAAACTTGTATCATAGTTATCTAGAGAAAAATACTTGGGATAGAGATACCGCCCTTTTCGCTTTCCCAGTGGCAACGTTCACAACCATGCAGAGCTTTGAATTCGTGGATGTCAATAAACAGCTTTCTCCAGAACTTTAGGTGGGGTAAGAGAGAGCCTGGTCAGCCCGGGATGGAAAGCTGAGTCTTCTGACCCGTGATTCCTCTGCGGTTTGTGTCAGGGAGATCCTACCACATCAGGCTTTCCCACTGGAGAAGGGCTGCTAGATACAGACTATGAGCAGATTCAGATTAAAAGAGCAATGTGGAAAATCTATGCCGTGACCCGGAGATGAAAGGCGGTTGCTGCAGACACAAAGCGAAGTAACGACCATCATAAGATGCACCCTGCAATCTGACTGATATCTGGCAGAAAAGCAGTTGCTGGTTGGAAAACAGGACTTAGAACTCTGTCCCTTGCCCATCATGAGGATAGGCAAAGCAAAGCAGAAATTTTAGATTAAGCACTATTTCCCATACCGGGAGTTGAACCCGGCCACCTGGGTGAAAACCAGGAATCCTAACCGCTAGACCATATGGGACCCCTGATTTGTTACTTGTTTATAAAGGAAGGAACCAGTATGGTCAGCCTCAGTGCAATTTTGAATTGGCAACACTGTAACTCGATCTTTGTGTCAGTCAAACAGCGACCACTATCCATGATATTGGATGAAAAGGAGAAAGCCGGCCAGCCAGTGAACCTAAATTTCTGATCGTAAACCTTATCATTCGCCATGCCCAGGTTACCTTCAATACAATTAATTTGTGGTTAGGAAGTTTGCGAATGATAGTGTTTTAATATTACAGGTTGTATTATGTTTTATATAATAAAGTTTTTTCTGTGCTGAAGCTTGGGGCAAAGTAGGTACAAACTACAAACTAGGACCATATTCAGAGTAAAAGAGCATACTGGGATAGAGAGATACCGTCCCTTTTCGCTTTCCCAGTGGCAACGTTCACAACCATACAGAGCTTTGAATTCGTGGATGTCAATAAACAGCTTTCTCCAGAACTTTAGGTGGGGTAAGAGAGAGCCTGGTCAGCCCGGGATGGAAAGCTGAGTCTTCTGACCCGTGATTCCTCTGCGGTTTGTGTCAGGGAGATCCTACCACATCAGGCTTTCCCACTGGAGAAGGGCTGCTAGATACAGACTATGAGCAGATTCAGATTAAAAGAGCAATGTGGAAAATCTATGCCGTGACCCGGAGATGAAAGGCGGTTGCTGCAGACACAAAGCGAAGTAACGACCATCATAAGATGCACCCTGCAATCTGACTGATATCTGGCAGAAAAGCAGTTGCTGGTTGGAAAACAGGACTTAGAACTCTGTCCCTTGCCCATCATGAGGATAGGCAAAGCAAAGCAGAAATTTTAGGTTAAACACTATTTCCCATACCGGGAGTTGAACCCGGGCCACCTGGGTGAAAACCAGGAATCCTAACCGCTAGACCATATGGGACCCCAGACTTGTTACTTGTTTATAAAGGAAGGAACCAGTATGGTCAGCCTCAGTGCAACTGAACTGCAACACTGTAACTCGATCTTTGTGTCAGTTAAACAGCGCCATTATCCATGATATTGGATGAAAAGGAGAAAGCCGAGCCAGCCAGGAGTCGAACCTAGAATCTTCTGATCCGTACTCAGACGCGTTATCCATTGCGCCACTGGCCCACGGTTACCTTGCGCACAATACAAGCATGGCTCCACATGACTCTGTGGTTAGGAGAGTTCTCATTATGCCCGAAAAAGAACCTGGATGAAGCTGAGTCTTCTGTCCCAACGTTACTCTACAGGTTGAGTCAGGGAGATCTTACCACATCAGAATGTTTTACACTGGAGAATGGCTGCTAGGTACAAACTAGGACCATATTCAGAGTAAAAGAGCAACACGGAAAGGTCCATGCCGTGACCCGGATTCGAACCGGGGTTGCTGCGGCCACAACGCAGAGTACTAACCACTATACGATCACGGCTTCTCAAGTCAGTGGGTTTGGTAAAGTTGTTATAAAACAATCTCTGTGCTGAAGCTTGGGGCAAAGTAGGTACAAACTACAAACTAGGACCATATTCAGAGTAAAAGAGCATACTGGGAGATAGAGATCGCCCTTTCCCGCTCCTTCCCAGTGGCAACGTTCACAACCATACAGAGCTTTGAATTCGTGGATGTCAATAAACAGCTTTCTCCAGAACTTTAGGTGGGGTAAGAGAGAGCCTGGTCAGCCGGGATGGAAAGCTGAGTCTTCTGACCCGTGATTCCTCGTGCGTTTTGTGTCAGGGGAGATCCTACCACATCAGGCTTTCCCACTGGAGAAGGGCTGCTAGATACAGACTATGAGCAGATTCAGATTAAAAGAGCAATGTGGAAAATCTATGCCGTGACCCGGAGATGAAAGGCGGTTGCTGCAGACACAAAGCGAAGTAACGACCATCATAAGATGCACCCTGCAATCTGACTGATATCTGGCAGAAAAGCAGTTGCTGGTTGGAAAACAGGACTTAGAACTCTGTCCCTTGCCCATCATGAGGATAGGCAAAGCAAAGCAGAAATTTTAGGTTAAACACTATTTCCCATACCGGGAGTTGAACCCGGGCCACCTGGGTGAAAACCAGGAATCCTAACCGCTAGACCATATGGGACCCCAGATTTGTTACTTGTTTATAAAGGAAGGAACCAGTATGGTCAGCCTCAGTGCAACTGAACTGCAACACTGTAACTCGATCTTTGTGTCAGTTAAACAGCGCCATTATCCATGATATTGGATGAAAAGGAGAAAGCCGAGCCAGCCAGGAGTCGAACCTAGAATCTTCTGATCCGTACTCAGACGCGTTATCCATTGCGCCACTGGCCCACGGTTACCTTGCGCACAATACAAGCATGGCTCCACATGACTCTGTGGTTAGGAGAGTTCTCATTATGCCCGAAAAAGAACCTGGATGAAGCTGAGTCTTCTGTCCCAACGTTACTCTACAGGTTGAGTCAGGGAGATCTTACCACATCAGAATGTTTTACACTGGAGAATGGCTGCTAGGTACAAACTAGGACCATATTCAGAGTAAAAGAGCAACACGGAAAGGTCCATGCCGTGACCCGGATTCGAACCGTGTTGCTGCGGCCACAACGCAGAGTACTAACCACTATACGATCACGGCTTCTCAAATCAGTGTGGAATGGTAAAGTTGTTATAAAACAATCTCTGTGCTGAAGCTTGGGGCAAAGTAGGTACAAACTACAAACTAGGACCATATTCAGTAAAAAGAGCAAACGGAAAGGTCCATGCCGTGACCCGATTCGAACCGGGCGCTGCGGCCACAACACAGAGTACTAACCACTATACGATCAAGGCTTCTCAAGTCAGTGGGTTTGCAAAGTTGTTATAAAACAATCTCTGTGCTGAAGCTTGGGGCAAAGTAGGTACAAACTACAAACTAGGACCATATTTAGAGTAAAAGAGCATACTGGGATAGAGAGATACCGCCCTTTTCTGCTAGATACAGACTATGAGCAGATTCAGATTAAAAGAGCAATGTGGAAAATCTGCCGCTGGACCCGGAGATGAAAGGCGGTTGCTGCAGACACAAAGCGGAAGTAACCACCATCATAAGATGCACCCTGCAATCTGACTGATATCTGGCAGAAAAGCAGTTGCTGGTTGGAAAACAGGACTTAGAACTCTGTCCCTTGCCCATCATGAGGATAGGCAAAGCAAAGCAGAAATTTTAGGTTAAGCACTATTTCCCATACCGGAGTTGAACCCGGCCACCTGGGTGAAAACCAGGAATCCAAACCGCTAGACCATATGGGACCCCAGATTTGTTACTTGTTTATAAAGGAAGGAACCAGTATGGTCAGCCTCGGTGCAATATTTGAATTGCGCACACTGTAACTCGATCTTTGTGTCAGTCAAACAGCGCCACTATTATCCATGATATTGGATGAAAAGGAGAAAGCGGAGCCAGCCAGGAGTCGAACCTAGAATCTTCTGATCCGTAGTCAGACGCGTATCCATCGGGCCACCGCCCCACGGTTACCTTGCGCACAATACAAGCATGGCTCCACATGACTCTGTGGTTAGGAGAGTTCTCATTATGCCCGAAAAGTAACCTGGATGAAGCTGAGTCTTCTGTCCCAACGTTACTCTACAGGCTGAGTCAGGGAGATCTTACCACATCAGAATGTTTTACACTGGAGAATGGCTGCTAGGTACAAACTAGGACCATATTCAGAGTAAAAGAGCAACACGGAAAGGTCCATGCCGTGACCCGGATTCGAACCGGGGTTGCTGCGGCCACAACGCAGAGTACTAACCACTATACGATCACGGCTTCTCAAGTCAGTGGGTTTGGTAAAGTTGTTATAAAACAATCTCTGTGCTGAAGCTTGGGGCAAAGTAGGTACAAACTACAAACTAGGACCATATTCAGAGTAAAAGAGCAACACGGAAAGGTCCATGCCGTGACCCGGTTCGAACCGGGGTTGCTGCGGCCACAACAGAGTACTAACCACTATACGATCACGGGCTTCTCAAGTCAGTGGTTTGGTAAAGTTATTATAAACAATTTCTGTGCTGAAGCTTGGGGCAAAGTAGGTACAAACTACAAACTAGGACCATATTCAGAGTAAAAGAGCATACTGGGATAGAGATACCGAGTCCCTTTTCCCTGGGAAGCTAAATACAGACTATGAGCAGATTCAGATTAAAAGAGCAATGTGGAAAATCTATGCCGTGACCCGGAGATGAAAGGCGGTTGCTGCAGACACAAAGCGAAGTAACGACCATCATAAGATGCACCCTGCAATCTGACTGATATCTGGCAGAAAAGCAGTTGCTGGTTGGAAAACAGGACTTAGAACTCTGTCCCTTGCCCATCATGAGGATAGGCAAAGCAAAGCAGAAATTTTAGGTTAAGCACTATTTCCCATACCGGGAGTTGAACCCGGCCACCTGGGTGAAAACCAGGAATCCTAACCGCTAGACCATATGGGACCCCAGATTTGTTACTTGTTTATAAAGGAAGGAACCAGTATGGTCAGCCTCAGTGCAATATTTGAGTTGGGCACACTGTAACTCGATCTTTGTGTCAGTCAAACAGCACCACTATCCATGATATTGGATGAAAATGAGAAAGCCGAGCCAGCCAGGAGTCGAACCTAGAATCTTCTGATCCGTAGTCAGACGCGTTATCCATTGCGCCACTGGCCCACGGTTACCTTGCGCACAATACAAGCATGGCTCCACATGACTCTGTGGTTAGGAGAGTTCTCATTATGCCCGAAAAAGAACCTGGATGAAGCTGAGTCTTCTGTCCCAACGTTACTCTACAGGCTGAGTCAGGGAGATCTTACCACATCAGAATGTTTTACACTGGAGAATGGCTGCTAGGTACAAACTAGGACCATATTCAGAGTAAAGAGCAACACGGAAAGGTCCATGCCGTGACCCGTTCAAACCGTGTTGCTGCGGCCACAACGCAAAGTACTAACTACTATCACGGCTTCTCAAGTCAGTTGCGTTTGGTAAAGTTGTTATAAAACAATCTCTGTGCTGAAGCTTGGGCAAAAGGAGGTAAAACTACGTTCTGATACTGGGATAGAGAGATACCATCCCTTTTCGCTTTCCCAGTGGCAACGCGTTCACAACCATACAGAGCTTTGAATTCGTGGATGTCAATAAACAGCTTTCTCCAGAACTTTAGGTGGGGTAAGAGAGAGCCTGGTCAGCCCGGGATGGAAAGCTGAGTCTTCTGACCCGTGATTCCTCTGCGGTTTGTGTCAGGGAGATCCTACCACATCAGGCTTTCCCACTGGAGAAGGGCTGCTAGATACAGACTATGAGCAGATTCAGATTAAAAGAGCAATGTGGAAAATCTATGCCGTGACCCGGAGATGAAAGGCGGTTGCTGCAGACACAAAGCGAAGTAACGACCATCATAAGATGCACCCTGCAATCTGACTGATATCTGGCAGAAAAGCAGTTGCTGGTTGGAAAACAGGACTTAGAACTCTGTCCCTTGCCCATCATGAGGATAGGCAAAGCAAAGCAGAAATTTTAGATTAAGCACTATTTCCCATACCGGGAGTTGAACCCGGCCACCTGGGTGAAAACCAGGAATCCTAACCGCTAGACCATATGGGACCCCAGATTTGTTACTTGTTTATAAAGGAAGGAACCAGTATGGTCAGCCTCAGTGCAACTGAACTGCAACACTGTAACTCGATCTTTGTGTCAGTCAAACAGCACCATTATCCATGATATTGGATGAAAACGAGAAAGCCGAGCCAGTCAGGAGTCGAACCTAGAATTTTCTGATCCGTAGTCAGACGCGTTATCCATTGCGCCACTGGCCCACGGTTACATTGCGCACAATACAAGCATGGCTCCACATGACTCTGTGGTTAGGAGAGTTGTCATTATGCCCGAAAAAGAACCTGGATGAAGCTGAGTCTTCTGTCCCAACGTTACTCTACAGGTTGAGTCAGGGAGATCTTACCACATCAGAATGTTTTACACTGGAGAATGGCTGCTAGGTACAAACTAGGACCATATTCAGAGTAAAAGAGCAACACGGAAAGGTCCATGCCGTGACCCGGATTCGAACCGGGGTTGCTGCGGCCACAACGCAGAGTACTAACCACTATACGATCACGGCTTCTCAAGTCAGTGGGTTTGGTAAAGTTGTTATAAAACAATCTCTGTGCTGAAGCTTGGGGCAAAGTAGGTACAAACTACAAACTAGGACCATATTCAGAGTAAAAGAGCATACTGGGATAGAGAGATACCGTCCCTTTTCGCTTTCCCAGTGGCAACGTTCACAACCATACAGAGCTTTGAATTCGTGGATGTCAATAAACAGCTTTCTCCAGAACTTTAGGTGGGGTAAGAGAGAGCCTGGTCAGCCCGGGATGGAAAGCTGAGTCTTCTGACCCGTGATTCCTCTGCGGTTTGTGTCAGGGAGATCCTACCACATCAGGCTTTCCCACTGGAGAAGGGCTGCTAGATACAGACTATGAGCAGATTCAGATTAAAAGAGCAATGTGGAAAATCTATGCCGTGACCCGGAGATGAAAGGCGGTTGCTGCAGACACAAAGCGAAGTAACGACCATCATAAGATGCACCCTGCAATCTGACTGACATCTGGCAGAAAAGCAGTTGCTGGTTGGAAAACAGGACTTAGAACTCTGTCCCTTGCCCATCATGAGGATAGGCAAAGCAAAGCAGAAATTTTAGGTTAAACACTATTTCCCATACCGGGAGTTGAACCCGGGCCACCTGGGTGAAAACCAGGAATCCTAACCGCTAGACCATATGGGACCCCAGATTTGTTACTTGTTTATAAAGGAAGGAACCAGTATGGTCAGCCTCAGTGCAACTGAACCGCAACACTGTAACTCGATCTTTGTGTCAGTTAAACAGCGCCATCATCCATGATATTGGATGAAAAGGAGAAAGCCGAGCCAGCCAGGAGTCGAACCTAGAATCTTCTGATCCGTACTCGAGCGCGCTTATCCATTGCGCCACTGGCCCACGGTTACCTTGCGCACAAATACAAGCATGGCTCCACATGACTCTGTGGTTAGGAGAGGTTCTCATTATGCCCGAAAAAGAACCTGGATGAAGCTGAGTCTTCTGTCCCAACGTTACTCTACAGGTTGAGTCAGGGAGATCTTACCACATCAGAATGTTTTACACTGGAGAATGGCTGCTAGGTACAAACTAGGACCATATTCAGAGTAAAAGAGCAACACGGAAAGGTCCATGCCGTGACCTGGATTCGAACCTGTGTTGCTGCGGCCACAACGCAGAGTACTAACCAATATATGATCACGGCTTCTCAAATCAGTGGGTTTGGTAAAGTTGTTATAAAACAATCTCTGTGCTGAAGCTTGGGGCAAAGTAGGTACAAACTACAAACTAGGACCATATTCAGAGTAAAAGAGCAACACGGAAAGGTCCATGCCGTGACCCGGATTCGAACCGGGGTTGCTGCGGCCACAACACAGAGTACTAACCACTATACGATCACGGCTTCTCAAGTCAGTGGGTTTGGTAAAGTTGTTATAAAACAATCTCTGTGCTGAAGCTTGGGGCAAAGTAGGTACAAACTACAAACTAGGACCATATTCAGAGTAAAAGGGGCATACTGGGATAGAGAGATACCGTCCTTTTTTCGCTAGATACAGACTATGAGCAGATTCAGATTAAAAGAGCAATGTGGAAAATCTATGCCGTGACCCGGAGATGAAAGGCGGTTGCTGCAGACACAAAGCGAAGTAACGACCATCATAAGATGCACCCTGCAATCTGACTGATATCTGGCAGAAAAGCAGTTGCTGGTTGGAAAACA